CCCAACACCACCGCCAAACGGCCTTGTAGCTCAGGTCGTGAACCTGACGGCCGAGATCAGTTCCTCTCTCGGGCACAATCGTTTGATTAGAAGTCGAACTCAAACAGGCGCACCACTTAACTATTTTATCCAAACACTTCACTCTCTCGACGCACGGTAGACCGTGCTAGCACGCCCGCGCACAACCGCATCGCATCCAAAAGAAGGACGTCACGTGTTGACGCATATCCCCTTCGGCCCGGAGCACCAGGCCGTGAGATTTGCGCATCCAACATATATATATAATTATCCCAACTTTATATTTTTAGGTCATTTATGAACCCTAAATCCTTGGTTTTTTCATTTTTAAATTTTATGAATTTTAAATTATTTTTTTAAAACTCCATTAGTTTGTTGGTGTGACATATATGTGGAGCCCACATCTCCAATAATATGTAGTGTCACGTGTATTTAAAATACAATATATATTTTTAAATAATTTTAAATTCATAAAATTCAAAAAAGAAAAACCAAAATTTTATGAATTTTAAATGAAAAAATAAAAAAAATTTGACGGGGACCATTTGTGATAGGTGCGGGAACCTCAGGGATACTTTGTGATACATATATATGCCACGTCAGCAAACTAACGGATTTTTTAACGGAACCTAACGGCACGGACCATTTGTGATCACACATACTAACCTTAAGAACCACAAATGACAAAAAAATACATCAAGGATGCAATTTGATAGTTTTGTAAACCTTAGAGATGTTTTGTGATATTAAGCCTTATTACTATTCTGTCTGGCCACAATGGGAAACGATTCGATTAGGGTTTTGGCAATTGTTATTTCACGAAAAAAAAAAACCCAGACATTTGAATCTTTCTCTATTTATATAACGTTTTAGGCGGCGTGTTTCATGTCTGCTTCACAACCTTTTGTTTTTTCTTTTTCTTTTTTGACAAAATTTTAAAAAATAAGTGGTTGTATTGTATTGGTATTGATTATTGAATATGAATTTTGAAAAAAAAAATTGGTGGAATTAAAAGGGTTTTTTTAAATTTTAATTCTTTCAAGAAGGACTAAGTTGAATTTACCTTATTAATGAAATGAACTAAGGCACGAGTGAACTTTCACAAGCCGAGGTGTCCGCACAATAATTCAAGTATCATAATGATAAATCACATATATGTTATTTGAAAAAACTATATCTAAAATACATAACAGTTTTGAGGTTTCCGCAACTGCAAAACATTTTCTTTTATTTTACTCCCTTTTACTAAAATTAATTTAAACATATTGTTAATGTACCAATTTATCTTTGTTTAATATAATATCTGTTAGCAATAGTCAATTAATGAGGATTAGTTTGGCACCTACAAAGGTTGGTAGCCTACAATGTTTAGTCAATTAATGAGGATTAGTTTGGCACCTACAATGTTTAGTCAATTAATGAGGATTAGTTTGGTTGCCTAACTTGGTTGGTTGCCTAACTTAAGGGGCTTGACTAATGTCTTAGGAACTTGTATATATATGTGTTGATTGTAAGGAATGAAACATAAGTGAAAATCAGAAAATATTCAACAACTCTCATTCTCTCTACACTTTCCACTCTCTACTCTCAATATTCTCTATGTTTTGACATGGTATCAGAGCAGCGATCTTGCTGACTCTAGTCTTGAATTGTTGTTTCCATCATGGGAGAAGACGATTTTTCCCATGTTGAAAGTAGCACCACCGATCCTACTACTTTCACCGAATTTGCTGCTCAAATGGCTGAGTTGATGAAGATACAAGCATCAACATCAAATACGACCCCGACCCCGACCCCGACTATTACCTACGAAACCTCTCCTGCACAAATTGGCATTAAGTTGGATGGCTCCAACTATGCCTTATGGTCTCAAGTTATTGAGATGTATGTTGCTGGCAAGGATAAGCTGGGATATCTCACTGGTGAACTCCCAGCACCTTCTCAGACGGACTCGACATTCAACCGATGGCGAACAGAAAATGCAATCGTGAAAGGGTGGCTAATCAACTCCATGGAGCCAAGGTTAATTGGCAACTTCATTAGATTCTTGTTGTGTAGATACAGCTGCACCAAAATGGGTTCAACTGCATCCTCAACTTGTGATACTCGCAAGTGCACGAGCCGTTTGGTACTTTGATGGCTCTGACACCTCCCAGGTGTATGATCTTAAAAGGCGAATCTCCCGTATGCGACAAGGGGGAGGTTCGATTGAAGCTTACTACAATGATCTCCAAGGCTTATGGCGAGAAATCGATTTTCGCCGTCCAAATGAGATGAAGTGCGAGTTGGATATCAAAAAATACTATGATATCATCCAAGAAGATCGAGTTTATATTTTCTTGGATGGTTTGGATGATCGACTAGACAAAGCCCGAAGTGATGTGCTCCAAATGAGTCCATTTCCTACAGTAGAGCAAGCTTATGCTCATGTTCGACGAGAAGATATCCGACAAACTGTGATGTTAGGAGCTCCAACACCAACCGGAGTAGGATTGGTAACAAAAGGAACATATCGACCCTCTCGCCCAATTCCAACTGCTCATCTCCAGCTACAGACAGCTGCCAATAAGACTACTCCACCTTCTCGATCCAAGGCTCCCACAGATGGGAATGGTTGCACTCACTGCGGGAATCCAAAGCACACTCGAGAAACTTGTTTTAAACTACATGGTTATCCAGATTGGTGGGATGGTCTCAAGGCTCGTAAACTTGCTGCTGGAGGAACGGGTCGTGCTGCCCTTGTCACCTCGGATCCTCTGGTAACGTTAATTCCTCATGAAGAGTCTACCTCAACATCAGAAAAGGACTCTTCATCTTTCAGTAACTCAGGTAACTGTGGATATGTATTTCATACATCATATACAAGTGACTCCACAGGTTGGATTATTGATTCAGGAGCCACAGATCATATGACGTTTGATCCAACCGATTTTCTAAGCACAACCACACCACAACGAACAAGTATTGCCAACGCAAATGGTGCTACCTCTCCTGTGATTGGTGCTGGAACCATTGGCCTCTCTCCATCCCTTACTCTTCAAAATACTTTGCTTGTCCCATCGTTGTCTAATAAATTGATATCTGTTGGCCAAGCTACTGAGCAACTAAATTGTTGTGTACTCATGTATCCCGATTTTTGTTTATTTCAGGATATTCTCACCAAGGAGATCATTGGTCGTGGTACTAAGAGAGGGGGGTTGTACTATGTGGATGATTTCAGTATGGGAAGGGCACATAGTGTGAAGCACTCATCGACTTGGAAGGATCGACAACTTTGGTTATGGCACCGGCGTTTGGGGCATCCGTCTTTTGGCTATATGAGACATCTATTTCCAGATTTGTTTTCGAATTCCTGTACCACTGATTTCCAATGTGATACTTGTATCTTAGCCAAGAGTCACAGAGTCTCTTATCCATCAAGTACAAATAAAAGTGTTGCTCCATTTGCTTTGATACATTCTGATGTTTGGGGTCCTTCACCTATCTCTACAACTTCTGGCTTCCGGTGGTTTATCACCTTTGTAGATGATTGTACCCGCATGACTTGGCTCTTCATGATGAAAAATAAAACCGATGTATTCCATATATTTCAGTCATTTCACAAGCAAATTGAAACTCAATTCTCTACCAAGATTCAAGTCCTTCGTTCTGACAATGGGGGTGAATATATCAACCATGATTTTCAGACTTACTTCCAGATACATGGCATCATCCATGAGACCACTTGTCCTCAAACTCCCCAACAGAATGGTGTTGCGGAACGAAAAAACCGACACCTCCTTGAAACAGCACGAGCTCTTTTGATTGGCGCTCATGTTCCTCGCCACCATTGGGATGATGCTATAGTCAC